TGAGATAGAGTCTTGCTCTATCACCCAGGCTGGAGTGCAGTGGCGCGATCTCGGCTCACTGCAAGCTCTACCTCCCAGGTTCAAGCAATTCTCCTGCCTTAGCCTCCCGAGTAGCTAGGATTACAGGCGCCTGCCACCACTCCCGGCTAGTTTTTGTGTTTTTAGTAGAGACAGGGTTTCACCATGCTGGGCAGGCTGGTCTCAAACTCCTGACCTCGTGATCTACCTGCCTTGGCCTCCCAAAGTGCTGGGATTACAGGCATGAGCCACTGCGCCTGGCCCTCAGACTTTTCTTCTGCAGCTTCCTCACCTCTCTCAGACTTTGTAGAATTGAAGAGAGTTAAGGCCTTGCTCTAAATTAGGCTTTGGCTTAAGGGAGTGTTGTGGCTGGTTTAATCTTCTATCCAGACCCACTGAAACATTCACCATATCAGCAATAAGGCTGTTTTGCTTTCTTCTTACTCGTGTTCACTGGAGTAGTACTTATAATTTACTTCAAGAACTTTTCTTTTGTATTCACAACTTGGCTAACTGGTGCAAGAGGCCTAGCTTTGGCCTATCCTGGCTTTCAATGCGGCTTCCTCACTAAGCGGATGATCCTACTAGTTTTTGATTGGAGTGAGAGATGCGACTCTTCCTTTTGCTTGAACACGTAGAAGCCTTGTAGGGTTATTCGGTGACCTAGTTTCAATATTGTGTCCCAGGGAATAGGGAGGCCGAAGGAGAAGGAGAGAGATGGAACAGCTGGTTGGTGGAGCAGTGAGGGCACACATTTATTGATTAAATTTGCAGTCTTATGTGGAGTGGTTCAGGCATCCCAAAGCAATTACTGTAGTAACATCAAAGATCACAATCACCATCACAGATACAATAATAAGAAAGTTTGAAATATTGCAAGAATTACCAAAATGTGACACAGACATGAAGTGAGCACATGCTATTGGAAAAATGGTGCTGATAGACTTGCTTGATGCAGGGTTGCCACAAACCTTCAATTTGTAGAGTGCAGAATCTGCAAAAGGCAATAACGTGAGCTGCAATAAAGCAAGCTGTATATGTATTTTATTATTGTCTGAACCCATCCTTTTCCCATCTCCTCTGCCATCTCAAGCATTTGAAAATTTATTCATTCAGTACACTATTTTTCGAGACAGGGTCTCACTCTGTCGCCCAGGCTGGAGTGCAGTGGTGGGCTCATAGCTCACTGCAGCTCCTTGACCTTCTAGGCTCCAGTGATCCATCTCAGCCTCCCAAGTAGCTGGGAGTACAGGTGCACATCACCACACCCAGCTAATTTTTAATTTTTTTGTAGAGATGGGGTCTCGCTGTCTTGTCACGCCTGGTCTCAAACTTCAAGTGATCCACCTCTGCCTCCCATAGTGTTGGGATTACAGGCATGAGCCACTATGCTTGGCCCAGTACACTCTTTGCATACACACTATATGCTAGGGATGCAGCCAAAGAAGCTTAAAAAATACACAACTTAAGAAAAGTATGGTGGGTCGGGCGGCTCACGCCTGTAATTCCAGAACTTTGGGAGGCCAAGGCAGGTGGATCACTGGAGGCTAGGAGTTCGAGACCAATCTGGTCAACATGGCAAAACCCCATCTCTATTAAAAATACAGAAATTAGCCGGGCATGGTAGTGTATACCTGTAATCCTAGCTACTTGAGAGATAGGCATGAGAATCACTTGAACCCGGGAGGCGGAGGTGGCAGTGAGTTGAGATCGTGCCACTGCACTCCAGCCTGAGCACAGAGTGAGATTCTGTCTCTAAAATATGAAAAAAGTACCCTCTGAAAAGTAAATAAAATGAAAAGGTAGATGTAAGGAAATGATAAAGCTAAAGAAGAAGTAATTGACAAGTCAAAATTATAAATCTAATTGAATTCATTTGATATAGGCTGGGCATAGTGGCTCACACCTGTAATCTCAGCACTTTAGGAGGCTGAGGTGGGCGGATCACTTGAGGTCAGAAGTTGGGAGA